ATGGGGGCAGTGTGTGTGTATGGGGGGGCAGTATAGGGGCAGTGTGTGTGTATGGGGGCAGTGTGTGTATGGGGGCAGTGTGTGTATGGGGGGCAGTGTGTGTCTATGGGGGGCAGTGTGTGTCTATGGGGGGCAGTATAGGACAGTGTGTGCGGGTATGGGGAGGCTGTATAGGGGCAGTGTGTGTATGGGAAAAGTAAAGGCAGTGTGTGTGTATGGGGCAATGTGTATGGGGGGGCAGAGTGTGTGTATGGGAGGCTGTATAGGGGGCAGCGTGTGTCTATGGGGGGGCAGTATGGGGACAGTGTGTGTGTATGGGAGGCTGTATAGGGGGCAGTGTGTGTGTATGGGGTGGCAGTATGGGGGGCAATGTGTGTGTGTACATCCCCCCCCCGCCCCCAGCCTACCTGTCACTGGGGGTCAGGCAGCCATCTTCTGAAGCAGCATGGGCTGCTGCTTTACGGCGGGGGCGGAGCTTATCGGCGGGAGGCGGGGCTTCGTTTGGGGGCGGGGCCTGTGCCGGGGAGCCAATCAGTGCTCCCTCCAGCCACAGACAGCCCCCAGCACCTCAGCACTGCATTCCCTGGCTGTAACAGGCTGTTACAGTCCGAGGGAAGAACATGGCCAGCAAGTTGCTGGCATTTGGGGGGGCCCAAGGGGGGGGCACAGCATGATGTAGGGGGGGCCATGGCCCCCTCTGGCCCCCCCCTAGCGACGCCACTGTATGGACGTTCTGCACGCTGAATGAGCTTTCGCATCAAGCGTAGCAGAAGCGCCTCTAGCGGCTGTCAGGAAGACAGCCACTAGAGGCTGAATTAACCCTGCAATGTAAACATAGCAGTTCCCCCCCCTCCCACCCTCAAGGCCACCCCTCCCACTCGACTGAATAGGTTAAAACCCCTTCAGCCACTTACATTTCTCCAGCGCCGGGGTCACTCTGTGCTGGGGAACTCTCCACCCCTTTCCGACTTAAGATCCGAATGCGCATGTGCGGCAATAGCCGCGCGTGCATTCAAACAGCCCATATGAAAGCATTACTCAATGCTTTCCTATGGACATCCAGCATCTTCTCACTGTGATTTTCACAGTGAGAATCGCGGAAGCGCCTCTAGCGGCTGTCAGTGAGACAGCCACTAAAGGCTTGTTGTACAGATCCTAAAAAGGTTTAAGAAGGAGAGATCATTAGTTAGTGTCTAAATAACTAACAGTTTTAATGGTGTATAAATGCTGTATAGTTGAATTCTTCGTTAAGACCCGAAGGAACCAGGGTCTTAAACGAGAAAATCCACTGTGATTCTTTCCTGAGCAGAGTTTTATTAAAATCGCCCTTTCGAGGATTAGGTAGCAATTTCTCAATAGCCTAGAATCTCAAATTGTCCGGATCCCCATTATGGAAATTGAGAATGTGTCTTGCTACCGGAGTGGGGGTGACAGTATTCTTGACAGAGGTGATATGTCCTGCGCCTAAACTCTTGATACGTTTTACCGATATATTGGGTACCAAAACTACAGGTGATCAAATAGATCAATCGTGTAGAACTGCAATTGACTAAGGCATTAGTCTCAACCCTAATCTGGGTTTGGGTGGACGTGGTAAATTTAGAGAGCAAAATATATTGGCAGGCCTTGCAATGCCCACACTTAAACGTCCCCTTAGTATTAGATAACCAGCTGGTAGATGGTAAAGGGGATGCCAGATGGCTGTGGACAAGTTGGTCCTGTAAATTCAATGGTCGGCGCGCTGTTAGAGGTGGATAAGCTGGTAACACCTGTTGGAGTATAGGATTATGTAAACGTATTAGCCAATTCTTTTTAAGGATTTGGGACATAGGTCCCCAACCTTGGTCAAATGTAGCAATGCATCGGGGAGCCTTACCTTCATTTTTAGGTATGGTAAAATGAAGGCTGGTATTCCTATCAATGCTGCATACCCGATGAAACGCTCGTTTTAAAACCCGGTTGGGATATCCAAGTTCTCTAAAACGAGATTTCAATATTTTACATTCATTGTAAAAGGTTTGATCAATAGGGCAATTACGTCTTGCCCTTAAATATTGGCTAAAGGGGATGGAGGCCTTTAGTCTATAGGGATGATGGCTTTCCCAGTGTAGTAAGCTGTTAGTAGATGTAGCCTTTCTAAACAATTCAGTCTGGATGGTACCATCCTGTTCCATTAAGATCTTAAGATCCAGAAATATCAACTCATGTTCATCTATCACGTAAGTAAGCTTAAGGTTAATGTCATTATCATTTAGGGCTTTGACAAAGTCCTCAAACATGGGGACGGATCCTGTCCACAGGTGCAGCATGTCGTAAATATATCTATGCCAACTTAAGATGTATTGATAAAAGTGGCTGAATTGAGGTGTCATGACGACATGCTGCTCCCACCACCCCAAAAACAGGTTGGCATAGGTGGGTGCACAGGCCGTCCCCATGGCAGTCCCAGAGATCTGAAGGTAATAACGGCCATTGAACGTAAAATAATTATGTGTCAAGATGAAAGATTAAATTTTTCTGTTGATCATTGTATGATGTATTGTTTAGAAAGAATCGGAATGCCCTCAACCCCATTTCATGAGGAATGTTAGTATATAATGACACAACGTCCAAACTAGCAAGTTGGGTATAGGGTGGTACTGTCATATCTTGTAGTGTTAAAAGAGTAGACTTAGTATCTTTAAGATACGATGGTAATAATAACACCATAGGATGTAGAATTTTATCAAAGAATCTGCTAAGAGATTCTGTAAGACAGTTGTTCCCAGACACAATAGGTCTACCAGGAGGGGGTCTAATGCCCTTATGTACCTTCGGCAAACAATAAAATGTTGCAATAGTAGGATTTTTATGTGAAAGTAAGAAACGAAATTCATCTTTGTTAATCACCTGTTGGTCTAGCGCATCATTTAAAAGAATGTCCAATTCCCTAACAAAGTTAGTCGTAGGGTCCAAAGGAAGCGTCCTATAATACATAGTATCCTCAAGGTGTACCATACACATACTAACATAATCAGATCGATTCATAAGGACAATGTTGCCCCCTTTGTCAGCCGATTTTATTATTATGTCTGATTGTAATTGTAGTTCTTTTAAGGCTTTGTGTTCACCAAAACTCGAATTGCTGACTACTGGGGCCTGACTGTCTAATTCCTCAAACTCCTTTAATGAGATTTGGACAAACAGATCAATGTGAGGTGTGTCAATAAAATTCGGAGTAAAATAACTCGGTGGTTTCAAGTCTGTGAGGGGTCTGGAAAGATCATTATCATCTAAAAGACTATCCAAGGTTTTTAGAAAATACAGTCCCGTAAAGATAAACCCAATTCATTAGCCACAGCCTGATCCTTTTTTGCGTGCATTATATTCAGGGCCAACTTCCT